CGTAGTTCAAGTTGATGGTCCCTCATTGCTACTTGTAGGACAGCAATGGTAAAGCCTCCTTCGCTGGTATAATTACAATCCTCTGGCTGTCGTTGGGGAAGATCAGCATCAAGCTGAAGGGCGATTGCAAGGAAGTCTGATGGTGTATAAAACGGGCGATGGAGAATGTGAAGACAGATATTAGTTGCTGTCAAACCATAGAGATTGGTGAGGTTCTCAGGCTGGTTTGTTGGATGCTGGCCAACAATTTGCAGATCACCTAGATGGTGTTGCAAGCCCAAACTGTGTTGGGTTGTTTGCTGGTCAGTCATTTGCAGATCACCCATGTGGTCTGCGTGTGGCGGAGCACAAAATTGTGTTTCATCCGAACAATGCTGGTCAGCCATTTGCAGATCCCCCATGTGGTCTACGCCTTGTGGGGTCAACTGCGATCCGGGCAGATCATGTTCCAATCCCTCAACGTTTAGGGCTGCATCCTGAGTAGGGACTATACCTGGAGTCGGGAGTGTACTATGGGCAGCGGCTGCATCCTGAGTAGGGACTGGTGGCTGCCTGCAGGCAGATGGACTGTCTGCAGGAGTCATAGGAGCGGATATTGCCGTTTGAAACAAAGGAACCGCAACAACCTGTGGAGGAGGCACAGAGAGAATCGGGGCAGACAAAGAAATAGGTTGCTGATCCCTGGACAAGTGACGATGTCGCGGATGTCGTCTGTGATACACAACAAGAGGAGTAGTGGTGTTGCAAACAGAAACTGAACTTGTACCTAGCAACGCAGGTAGAACAATGGGGACAATGGAAATTAGAGAGTCTGTTCGCAAGCGAGACCGTGGAGGAGATGGGGGTGGTGAGGAGGAACGCAGTCGTCTACGGCCAAGCACAGACAAAGATGAGAGGGGGGTGCATTGGGCAAGATTTCAGAGCAAAGGACGTGAGCGTCGGAGAGATTGTGATGTTCTTTGCATTGGAGCTGCAGGACAGGAAGCTGTAGCAGTAAAAACTAAAGTAGGGGGAACTACAGTTAGGGAAAATGTTGTACTGAAAACCGCAACAATAGAAACTGCAGCAGTGGAAACTGCAGCAATGGAAATTGCAGCAGTGGAAACCGCAACAGTGGACACTGCAGCAGTGGAAACTGCAGTAGTGGACATTGCAGCAGTGGAAACCGCAACAGTGGACACTGCAGCAGTGAAAACTGAGGAGTGGAGACTCCAACAGTGGAAACTGCAGGAATGGAGACTGCAGCAGTGAAAACTGCGGTAGCAGCCGATGAGTAAGCAGGGGCAGTACGAGAGCATCCTGGGGGCGAAGAAGAAATTGGATGATACAAGGACCATCGCAACATGCGTCGGAACCACTGAGAGAGACGCGTCACATGTGTAGGATAGCGACGTTGGCGGGAGCGCATGTAGCAGGTCCAACCCTTAGCAAGGGTTGGTGGGGAATGCCCACGCGAAAGCATCCGACGAGTACGTGTTGTTGCCGCAGTTCGAAAGTCCTGCCAATTGTTACAGATTTGTTCAAATCTGGTCAATTGCCCAGTGAACACACCAGCTGGTTGATGGGAAGGAATGTTGGAGGTCACACTTGGATAACGAATGACAGGGAAATCCCAAACAGTCGCTTTATCAAAGACGCTCATGCAAAGCGAGCCATCAGAACAGACCTGTAGCTGCATACCTAAAAAGGTACAGGAGCCATCTGTAGTTGTAGTCTCCTTCCACTCCAGCCCATAGTGTTCTGGTGGAGGAGGTAAATGTCCCCAGGTGAAGGCATATTGTTGAGCAACTTGAAGATCATGTTGACGAATGTCATCAACAAAGCTTGCTTCATCCCAATACAGCGTTAGATTAGAAATTTTTGGACTAGCATTCGTTCCCATTGGAATACCGATAATTTGTTTCCGAAGCGTACCATCTCTCGTGTATAGAAAAGTGTTTTGTACAACAAAGCGAAGATGTTGGAGAATCTGAGAAACAGAAAGGGCATCCGGGCCTGAATCAGTTGTCCATTGCCCACAACTAGGTCCTCGAATAACCATGTTGAGGGCAACACGGCGTGAATGCATGCGAGTTTGTCGAAGGGCATAAGCATGAGCTTCACCAACAGCTTTTGCCACATTATTCAGAATGTGGTCATAAGGAAGGTTGGTGTACATTGTGGTAAAATCAACAGTGCGAGGAGAGAGGCCACGAAGAGACGATGCATTGTTTTACAGGTCAATCGCCACTTCATCGGCACTTTGTTTTTGGTATGGGAGACAACATTGATGATCGCTTGCATTCTAAGACCAAAGTAGGTGGAAAAGAGAAGGAGAGGGGGAAGACACCAGCAGTGAGCGGGCAAGAGGATGATGGTGCTGCAGGGGACGTGCAACTGGTGGCTCCAGGAGAGGGGGCGCAACCTTGTGATCCTCTAGATGAGCATGTTGAAAAACTGCGGCGAGAACTGGCCACTGCAGAGGACCAGCAAGGAAAGGAGAGAGAAAAGCGCAAGAGGAAGGCCAATGAGAAGGCGTATTGGTTAGAGTTGTGTAGCACGCCGAACACGTTCGGTGCCCCCACCGAACATCCGAACACGTTCGGACGTTCGGTCGAGCGGGGACTGAACGTGTTTGGCCAAGCGTGGATTTTGGCCTCCCGAACGCATTTTGCACTGGCCCGGTACAGGGCCCATTTCGACCATCGGGGGCCTGGGGGGGTCTCCGCGGCGCGGTAAACGACCGGGGGGGTCTCCACTGAGAGAGAGAGAGAGAGAGAGAGAGAGAGAGAGAGAGAGAGAGAGATAGAGAAAAGAAATCCCTCGTCGCCCTCTTCCAACTCCCCTCCCTTACTAACATCCCCTACTCGTGCTCTCGACTCCCTCCTCCTCCGTGCGGTTGCCACGTGGCAACCGCCCCGCGTTTTTTTTTTCTTCTTCTTTGTATTATTTTTCTTTATTCTTCTTCTTCGTATTATTCTCCTTTCTTCTTCTTCTTCTTCTTCTTCTTCTTCTTCTTCTCCTCCTCCTCCTCCTCCTCATCGACTTCGTCTTCTTCCCTCCTCCATCTCCAGCCTCCTTCGTCGTCATCTCACTCCCGATCCCCCAAGGTCCTCCCTGCCGCCCTCCCAAATCCCTTGTTCTCCCTACGGTTGCCACGTGGCAACCGCTGCGATGTCCCGTCCTCCTGCTCCCAACTCCCTCCATGTACGCACGCGGGTGTGTGTATGTGTGTGTGTGTATGTGTGTGTGGGTGTGTGGTGAATGGGCAATGCCCCTTGCCCCCCACGCCCCCCACCCCTATTATCCCTATATTATATATATCATATATATTAAAATATGTATTTACGTTCGGGTTCGGTGTTTTTCAGCCCGTGTTCGGGTTCGGTACCGAACGTTCGGGTTCGATCACCGAACCCGAACACAGTGAGATAGCATAACTGGCTGCGTTAGGTGAGAAAGATCTTAAGCTATACCAAACCCCGGCATTCTTGAGTCTACCCTTAACCAAGAGTTTCAAGATCCTTAATAGGTCTGGTTCTTGCCGCACTTCTACCATAGGACAGTCAAAAAACACAGGTTCACGACAAACGGTCACAGGTTGTTTGAGGGCGTCAATCCTTTTCCCCCGACATCTTCGAACCTTCTTTCTACGGGTACGACCCTTTGCGTTCAGACCCGGATTATGGCTCTTAATAATCTTGAGTTCCATACCCTCAACAACCAGTTTCTCCCCAAACCAGATCGGAATAGGTACATAATGCTTAACACCAACCTTACAGAGCCAAGCATGCACCTATTGCTTACTAATGCCTTTGATCGCTCCTTTACAGAGCGGACTGTTTTACCCACTTAGGTGAGCTTATGACTAAGAGACAACATAGCATACACACAGCATTGGCCCATAAGCAAGTGGTCCCATTCCACTGGCGACATCCGCAGCCAGAAGCTAACGTAAGCCTTCCCCCACGATATGTCCCCGCGCAGGCATGCAAGCAATATAATTAAGGTATGGACCTGATCTAAGAGTCCACAGGTGGTACTATCAACACAACCCTTAAGTTTGGTGATCCGTTCCACAACTCTCCTCAAGGAGCGCAGGCTCCCAAGGGCTACTTTCCCGTCACCGTGTCGTCTTCGCCTGCACCATTGTCTTCAGGGCTCTCGTTGTTGTTGACAACTTTCCTCCGTGATGGTTCAGCACCCTTGGCCGGGGCGTTCGCCTTAATCTGATCGGCGTATTCCTGAAGATCCAATCAAGCTAGTTCCCACGCTCCCATTTCCTTGCGGAAACATGGAATTTCCTTCTGTTTGAAGAGCTCGTGAACCCTCGTGTAATGCAGCGAGGTATAAAAATCTTGGCGCATCTTCATATAGGCGGCCAGGCCATCCTCGTCTGCTTCCTCCTCTTCCGTATTGAGGGAGTTTTTCGCCACATCAACATCTTCTCGATCTTCCTGCTCAGGTTCAGACTCCTGCTCCGGCAGGCAAGCAGTCTGCTTACCCTTCTGCTCAGCCAGGCTTTGCACCAGCGTTGACAACATCTTCTTGACCTCTCATAAGTCACTGCTGCTCTCAAGCTTCATGCTCAGATTTTGCTTCACACCCTCGTTTTCGCCATCGTCATCAGACGAGATGTCCACCCTACGTGATCTTCCCATCCCACTCCCTCGAGATCGAGACTTACTCAGATTCCCTTTCGGAGTTACAACAACGACTGGAGCGGCGACAACGCGCTTGCGTTTCTCGCTGCTTCATTCCTTCTTGACCTTCTCACAGGCGGCTTTCTCCCCTCGCAACTGCGTAAGTTACTCCTTCTCAGCTGTTGCAGTCTTGGATTTGGAGTCGACTTCTCCGAGCCTTTGAGTTATAAGCTTGAGAGAGTTGCTGAGAGTTGAGGTCACCCATTCCTTCATTTCGTCACTCTTTTCGCTTGACCGGACCTCCGACCGACAACTCTCATCTGTGTTGTCCGAAATTTGGATCCCACTGCTCCGCCGAATACTCGCTATTCTCTCCTTGGCATCATCAAGTGCCTTATTGGACTCAATATCCTCCAATATGTCCATATATTCCTTGGTAAAGTACCCCCTGTTCCCAGCGCCAGGGCCAGGAAACGCATTTGCCGCCGGTCCCTTCCCCGAGTTCGGCGATCGGTTATACTTGCATTCGACGCTCGCCCGTGTCCCAGCTGATTGCTGGAGTGCTGATTGTTCATCGGCTGCACCGGCTCCTGGTTTGCAGGTAGAGGAGTCGGTGGTATGGTTGACGCAACCGGCGCAATTGGCACCGGCGGCACAACCCATGGAGCCGCAACTGGCCATGGATGACTCACTGGCCAGCCCTGCATACCCCATTGGGTAGCAGGCTGCTGAGCTTGATATTGAGGTGCCGATACTGCATTTGGCACGCCTGGCATACCCGAACTCGCTGGTACAACAGGCATAGCCAACATCGTCGGTTGATTCAACATCACCTGAGGCTGCCCGGTGGCATTTGGTACATAGACGCTCGGAGGGGCAGGATTATACTGCCCTGCACCTTGGTTCTGGATCTGCTGCCCTCCCCCACTATTTCCGTTCATGTCAGTCCAATAGCGGCCCCAATTGGACCACCTTCCACGCCGGCTTCCCCCTTTACCGCTTCTATTACGGCTGTACATACGCCCCAGTGCAGATAACGCAAGCACGACGTCGCCCAACCCAACAACACCAACCCACTTAAACTCTCCACTCTTCATGTCAACAAATAAGTCTGGCGCTCTGTATTTCCAGATCATACGATCTACTTCAGAGCTTCGGGACGATGTCTCACCACCAGCGTGCCAATCCAAAAACCCTCGCCGAGAGCGCGTGACGAAAATCCATCTGAACAGTGTCGAAACTCCGCTGACGAAACAAAATACTTGGATTACAATTCGGTCCAATCAGAGAAAACCCAATATCCAACCATAAAAGCCCAATAAAAGCCCAATAAATCTCCATAACATAATCAATAAGCCATCAATAATACATCGATGACATAGATCGATGACACAGATCAATAGATTAATAACATGATTAATGCATGATCTCGCGAGCGAGATTCGGCACCTTAGGCTCGTTCCCAAGCCACGGCAAGGTCGAATCTGAGGCCGTATACCATCAGAGAAAATTCACACAATGGAAAATTAACCGAAGAAGATGACGTGAGTTTTATTATCATGGCGCCATCACCTCCTCCCCATAATCCTTGAAGTACATAATCAAGGAATCTCAACCCTTCTACTCATACGCCACTCAAGTTGAGGATGGACTTTACAAGCTACGTCTTTAAATATGTTTTACCCCTACGCAGTGCTCGAACATTCAGGGCACACAATGCACCCTTCCCATCGAGTTACTTACCGCGACACCGGAAAATTACCAAGCTCACCTTCCCTGGTATTTGACCGGGTTCAGTCAGCTTCTAGGCCCGAAAAAACTTTCGCACCCGTAGAATTTAAAGGAAGACGGCAACAAAAAAGAGAAAAGAAAAGCAATAAAACAGAATAAGAGAAAAAATTGAATAAACCCAAAGAAAACACAGGTCCTGCGTGAACCGGGCCCTGAAGCCTTCCACATCTATTCAAGTTCCGCTAATAGTGCAGTTACCTGCTGAATTCGTCTTCCCCCCGCCGCGTTACTTGTAACACGTGGTCTTAAGCAGACGTCAAAACATTCGCAGTGCTTCGTGAGATCTTCTGATCGACAACATCCCGCTCTTACTGACACTTGCCCTTGCACAATATATTGGAGGAATCGGCGCCGCGCTTGTCGCAGCACCAGGAAATCTGAATGTACATCGACAGGGATACCCTGCTATATACATTTGTCCGGGCAGGTTCCCGGGCAGGTTCCCGGGCACGTTCCCAGTACGCCAACATCTGAATCCGGTCACAACACCCTTTAGTAAAGGGGCTCTTCGAGTGTATTCATCACTGCTTCTCCTCAGGTCAGGACATACTACAGAAGTTTGCTGCGGAGCCAAGCGTCCGCAATCCTGTGCATTTCCTCCCAGAACAGATCTGGATCCCTCATCCACTGAAGGCCCACCAGCACCACGTGAGGCCAATGGGTTATCTCTAGCTGGTAGAACATCAAGCTTGCCTAGGCACATACGTGAGGCCAATGGGGATTGAACCCACAACCTCCTGAATGCAACTTTTGTGCCTTACCAACTGAGCCAACCATGTATGAGAACGAGGCCCCACTGCTCTCGAAATGTGCAAAATGAGAGTGAAACTTTTGCTAGAACATGGAAAGATACACCGCCATGATTTTTGTTTTTTCTATACCACCCATTTATTTCATCGTTCTTGGAAGCACGCATCTATCTCATCCTCTCACTATTCTATGTATAGTACGGGGGAACACCAACCAACCTGGATCTCTCCCCAGCCCACGGGGTAGGTTGGCACCACAGTTGTGGTGCGAGAGCAAGGCTGTACCAGTCCCTCATCACGGTGACGAGGGGTGGGCAGATGGGGGAAATTGGCGGTGCTCACGCCGACCAATGGCAAGTCACTGCCCCTCCCCCTACCCCCCCTCAACCCCACATGGTGGTGTCTAATGACCGATATTGTCGCTGCATAGCAGCCAACAACATCAGCCAAGGTCCTGCCAATGCTGGCTTGGGGGGCCAACGGGTTATCTCTAGCTGGTAGAACACCAAGGTTGCCCAGACACATACATGAGGCCAATGGGGATTGAACCCACGACCTCCCGAATGCAACTTTTGTGCCTTACCAACTGAGCTAGGCCCCCAGGCCTCGAACTGTGCAAAACGAGAGTGAATCTTACACTAGAACATGGAAAGATACACCACCATGATTTTTGTCTTTTGTGTATGTCAAGGGTAGTGGAGCGAGGCCCGTAGGGTCGTGTATGAGAATAATGCCCCACTGCTCTCGAAATGTGCAAAATGAGAGTGAATCTTTCGCTACATGGGACGATACACCGCATGATTTTTGTTTCTTTCTATACCACCCGTGCACACTACTCTTGAACTGTGCAAAACGAGAGTGAATCTTGCACAGGAACATGAAAAGGTGCACGCCATGATTTTTGTCTTTGTGCATGTCAAGAGTGGTGGAGCGAGGCCCATAGGGTCGTTGCTTTTTCTTTTTCAATGTGTTCTCCCCCCCCCCCCCCCCTTGCTCCTCTTGATCCCCACCGCGTTTGAGGTGGGCAAAATCTAAGAAGGAACCCCCAAAAAGATGAAAATTATGGGGTTGTAGAGCACCCTTTTTTTCCCGCTTATTTTAGGCACCCGATACAATATAGTACGGCCTTAGTACGAACAACAGTTTGAACGGGCGTACGATAGGACCCCCATACGATGTACAGGGGAAGACAGTCTCCACCTGCATCCCCTAACTCTAATGCTACGTACCAGTAGCAGAATGCTGTAACTGTTGGACCCACCAGTCGAATGTTGTATGATAAGAGGGTGGTGCCCATTCCAGACAAGCTCAACAGCAAGCAAGACATCGTTACTTGGCTGGGAGAGGTGATGCGGCATTTCAAGCTCACCAGGGCACTGGCAGAGGATCAGTCCCTGCTGGTTTCCGATTTATTGGAACCCCATATCAATACATGCGTGCTGTCCTAGGCTGCAAAGGATGGATACAACACAGAGAGGTATGCTGGTTGGCTTTAGTATGCACCCTTGCAACACCATCACAGAAATCATGAAAGCCCAGCGGGAGGATGTGTTTGTAGCCCAAAAGTCCTGCAAACAAATCGAGAAGTTCAGTCTATCCACTTGGGTGGATGGGCAACATGCAATTGTTGTCGCAGAAACAGCTGCACTTCTCGCAACCCCAGGTCTTGAGATGACTGAGATGTCTAAGTTAAAGGCAGTGCAGGCTACAGCCCCTGAATGATTAACTCACCAACTTGGTCTCAAGAAATATGAAGTAAGACTCTGGGGTGGTGGATGCACCACAACGGCAGCAGACCCCCGGAGCGGCCCGGGGTCACCTGGCGCCCACTAGAGGCCCCGATCCGGGTCCTGGGGATCCAACTGTCGGCTGCAGGAAAACCTGAGTGCAACGACAAATGGATAATGGACCCGACACTCCAAAAGCTTGCTTCATGGACATACAAACACACCTCACTCTATGGCAAGGCCCTGGTTATTAACAACATGGCGCTTGCGTCTCTGTGGTATAAGTCTGTTATTTGGCTCCTATCCCAGGAAGCCTCGAGATCCTTGAGATAGCGGGTTGCGGCCTTCCTGTGGCGAGGAAATCATGAAACACGGAACGTGATGAGCAGGGTCGTGTGGGAGGCGATTGTTCAACCCAAATCCCACGACGGCTTGGGGATTCTTGATCTTGACACCCAGGCATCTGCCCTGGCCCTGTAGTGGCTCAAAAGACTAATCTGCACACGCAACCGCCCATGGGAACCCCTAGCATTAGAGCAAATAGCAAGGCTGGCCCCTGAATCCCGGTCTTCCACGCATCCTTTCGTTTGGCTGGACGACGTGTTTTGGACAGTTCCCAGGCCCTCCCATGGGCCGGTTGTGGATTCGGACCGAGCCGAGGCCCCCGCAGATCTTAAAAAAGTTAACTTTTGGGCTCGCCTGATCCATGATTGGCAGCGGCTCTCCCGGATAGACCAGCGCCCAGTAGGTGGGAGGAGGTACACCGCCAACCTCTGTTTGGAAACCGTTGGATAACAAACCGGCAGGGGAGAGTCTTCAAAGGCTCAGGAAGACCGTGGAACTAGTCAGGTACAATGTCCAAAAAGTGGAACACATATGGGACAACACACAAAATGATTGGATAACAGAAGGGCAACTCAAAAGTAAACTGCCACACTGCCACCTGATTGGGGAAACCTCGCAAAAGTTATTTTCTCCCTCACCTTGGCATGGGTGCAGATATTGGGACGTGGCCCACGACTTTTGGACGGAGATTGGGTGGCAATAGATGGGGATGAGGCTCATGTCGGTCAAGTGTTGACGACTAGCCGAGAGGAAGCGCTGGTAAATCTGTTTTATAGGAACCGCCAAAACCGACTGATAAGAGGGGTCCCGGATGAGGTGTTCTGGCTCCCGAAGGCAGTTATTCACAGGGTGAGAGTGTCGAAGAAGGGGAACTACTGGGTAGTCTTCAGGCTCGAGCTGCCTATTCAGAAACTCCCCATTGACCCGGGCGAATGGAGGTGGCAGATCCCCTCGCGGGAGACATAACCCCGATACCGGTACCTGCACAACTTGGGGGTTAAGGTCACTTACTAAGATCTCGAATCAACCTGAAAGATCGGATTGTGGACCGATGGGCGAAGCATCTGAACGTACCATTGGAGACATTGAGAACCAATCAAATGGTTTAAGGAAACTAAGTGCAAACCTGCCAAAGTGGCCTCGCTGCAATGGCAAATTACCCACCCCTGCCTCCCCACAAACACATGGCTCATTGACCACTCTAGCCTGGAGCAGAAAGGTACGGCCCTCCCGTGGTGCGCGGCTTGCCTGGAGGGCTTTCCATCCCACAAGGTAAATGAAACGGACACTAACTAGAGAACATATTTTCTTGCAATGCCCATCCTCAACGCTTGTCTGCAGATGGTGGGCAAGAATATGGGCAGCCCTCGAAACGGACACTGACTGGCCATGGGAGTGGACAACCCTGCTATGTGGACATTGGACGGCCCAAGGTTCGGTTTTTCATGTCTAACCTGTTTTCGATTGGTAGGAAAGCGGTGTTGTGGGCCATCTGGAGGCGTCGTTGCATACTGACCATCGATGGCGCACATATGGGGAGGGGCGAGATGACAGAGACGATTAAGGACACAATTGGGACAGAATCAGGGCTCGATGGACACGACTAGTACAGTTGACAAAGCCCCTCTCTTAAAAGACTGACATCACCCGCTACCTAAATCGATTCTGCATGGACTGGCTGGGAGGGGAACGTGGGGGGTGCAAGGAACCTGACTGTTCATCACTTGCTGGAGTGCATCAGATCACAAGCATATACACTGATTTCACAGATTGCAAAGTCTCACACAAAACCCAATAGAAGATGAATGAGAACCAAGAAGCTCGACTCAATTATCATGACCAGATTAAGAGAGGAAATTCGTGAGTCCAAAATGCATAGCGCTGAACAAAGTTACAAGTCTTCTCCGATCAACATGAGTTCCAAACCTGGCGCTCATCAGCGCCAGCTGCCAAACGTCAACAACAGCGCTTAAGAGGTAAGTGTCACCATAGCTCACACTTCCCCCTCTCTCGTCTACCTTCTTCTCTCTCTCCCTCTATGTCTATAGTCCTTGTCTACCCTCACTCATCATGCATGCACACTCCCTATCACACGAGGATCTACTCTGAATACTACTCACTGGTGTCTCCTACTGACTATCCCTACTAACATACTAACTAGTACTGGTGCAGCTATGGCTGCCCTTCTTCCCGCCAACGCTCGTCTTCCTTTCTTCACACGTAGCGCTGCTATTAGCCTGGCGCAGCTCACGCATATCTAGTGCACAAGTGCCACGACACTTCCACATTCTCATGCGAAGTGAGCATCTGTCCAAATGGGAGGCTGGCCAGTCCTTTATAGTGCTGGACTGGCCTGGCGTGCCCTGCATTCAGCCTCAAGTGTTTGGGACTCCTGCCCAGTACCCGTTGTTGCAAAGTGTGTGTCCCAGTATCTTTTCCCATGGTCTGGTGCTACTTTGGGCCATCGGGCCTGTCTTTTGGACTCCTGGTCTGAATCAGGACGGACTCGTGGGATTATGACTGAACTGGGATTGTGGCCTTTGACTCGTTGCCGAACAGACACGACTTTCCATCGAGGAGACATGACCCTAACTCAATCTAGAAAACTGTGTCCAATACCTGTTCGTGCAGGACCTGTGTGTGACTGTTCAAAACGACTTTTCATTTCATTATGGATGCGACATTTGCCTCAGGAACTTTGTCTTTTGGGTTGCAGCTCGTGAATTTAAGGTCTGGCCGACAGGGCCCCTCGCTGTTGGGGCATTCATTTGCGGTCTAATTCGTAAAGGCCCTTTTACTCTCGCCGGCCTAATTTCGAAGTCCTCTGAGAAAGTTCTTACCGGTCCACAATATTGACACCTTTTCTTGCTCTTTCATAGTAAGATACAATGTTCGGTGCAGTTTCAATCAACTCTTCTCTACTAAACCAGCGGTCTTCACTTAGGTCTTGATAGGCAAATCTGACTTTATAATGTCGCTGAGGTTTACCTCTGCGTCCAGTCTGAATAGTACTTTCAGCAATGATCTTATCAACATCAAATTTCCCATCCATACTTGGAGGAATTGTTGACCTTCGACTGGGAAACAGTTCATTAGTTACACAAAGTAAGAGCTTTGACGCGTGGAACACCGAGTAGGTATGCAAGTGTGGAGGTATCTCAATAACATAGGTGGGTTCATCCACATCCCCTATCACATCCAATACTTGCCACGGTCCTCTGTAGGCAGGTAACAATTTTTGAGATATGTTTTCCYCTGGGATAAATTCCTTTGATTTTACCCAAACCAGATCACCTCCAGCAAACTGAGAAGGTCTCCTGTGCTTATTGGCTTGTTCAATCATTTGATGTTGTGCTTTAATTATGTTCTGCTTTACCCTTTCTAAATCTTTCTGA